CGGGACATTTCTGCCCGCGGTTCCGCCCCAACAGAGGCGTGGCATTCATCCTGATTCACCCGATGGCTTGGGGAAGGCGGCTTTGAGCACCGAAGGTGATGCAGCAAGAAGGTGCGAAGGGGTCAGTGGAGTCCAGGAGTTGCTCCGAAACTCCTGCCGAAATTGAGGGGGTGGCAGAGGGGTCAGTTGTGCCCCTCCCCCCGGGACTGGAGATGCGGTTCTGGCCGCGCAACGAGGATGCTTTTTGCCGAGTGTGCCGAGAGAAGCAAGGGGGAGCGCAGATGGGCCGAGATTGGGGAGAGCTGCAATGCCACGGCATCTCTATGGAGGGGCGCCTTCCCAGCGGCCTTTTGCACGCATCCTGTTAAGACTGTGGGGTGCTTTGGATTTGGTTCCAAAATGTGCTTCCTGAGGACTGGGGGCAGAAAAACACAGCAACTGCCTGTAACCTTTTAAAGCAGGCGCATCTTTTCCTGGAGCCCCACAGCCGCCACCAGATCCCAGGGAAAAGACACGGCTGCTTTGAAAAGGCACGGTCCGGGGCTCGGTTGATACCCCTGTGCGCCCCGAGAATCAAATCCCGCACTTCCAGGAATCAAATCCGAAGCACAGCGCGACTCTCTTTCCTGGGCCTGCTTCCCACGCCCTCCGTCCCGCTGTTAAACTGGTTGCGCTTCACTGTGAAGGGGTCAGCTCAAGCCAAAGAGGGATTTTTTTTTTTAAGAAAAGAGGAAGGAAAAAAATATTAAAAAATTAGGGGGAAGGGGAACACAGACCCTGGCCCGTGTGGGCAGGGGAGGGGGCTTCTCTCTCTCTCTCTCTCTCTCGTTTTTTTCGTAAAGCGTTTGAGGTTGTGTGTGTTCACTGGGGCTGGAATGGCACTTCCACTCGCAGACGTGGCGAAGTCAGAGCAGCGACCTTGCACCCAACCGACCTGCCCCTCAGCAATAAAGTTTACTTGCTTTTAAAAGTGAGCATTGTGGTCTGTGCTTTGCTAAAGCTTTTCTTAAGCTCCTTTTCCAACCATTGGTAACTGGTTGGTATTTGCTGGAATCCTGGGGGGGGGGGGAGGGGGGACCCTATAACCAAAGTGGCATCTTTTCTCACGGACCACTTTCACGTCGTTGGAGAACACCCTTCTGAGAAAAGCACGATCCCGTGCAACTCTCCCTCGGCGCTCTTACCACGGAATTAGGGTGGGGAGGGCCGCCCTCTCCAAGGGGTGGGCACAAGGCTTGACTCAGACCCAGCAAGGAGCGGATTTCTCGGAGCAGCTCATTTTTCTTGGCAGCGTCGTGGAGATCCACGCACGGAGTCCCCCTGCAAGGGCGGGACCGCTCTTGGTCAGCGGGACGGGCGACTTTGTGTGAACAAGCACCACAGACCACTCTGGGTTCATCAGAAGCAAAGTTTTATTGGAAGCCTTTGCAAAGGCTGGTGGGCTTCGTTGCCAATAAGAAGCCCCCCACCCCCCATTACAGATTTCGGCACATTTTATACCATCCTATCCCGATGCCCATTCCTCCCCATTTCCCCATTGGCTGAGGGGTACCCTGAAGTCACGATCTTTGCCGGCCGCCTACTTCCGGTTACCCTCCTTCTACAGACCCCTACATACGACATACATCACATGTTCACGGTAAATAGGTGATCAGCTCTGCGGGGTGTGGTTTTCCTTATGATAACGAAGGCTGGGATGGCAAGAGTTCACTCATTCCTAAAAGATCCCTGCTAAGTGTCACTTTAGACAGGTCAAACTGCTCCAGATTGGTTTTATCACACCTTGCCTCATCTCAGAGGTATCTCCCCCTCCTCATTTCCTGTGCCCCTTGGGGCCGCTTGGCAACCATGGCGATGTCTCCTGATCTCTCCCGAGTTTGAGGTAGAGCGTTTGGCAGCTGGGTGCTTAGTATTGCAGCTACACTCTTAGCATGCTCAAGTTACTATTTCTTTGTCAATAATAACAGATATTTTATCCATCTCTCACAACTTGAAGACGGGTGGACTTCAACTC